CCCAAAACCCACAAACAAACAAATGCGGTCAGTGATGAGCCAGACAGGACCGAAATGACTCAACAACAACAAAAATCCATCATCTTAAATGCTGGGGATACAAGGACAAAATGAAAAAACGGCCCCTGCCCTCTAGAAGCTTATTGTAAACAGGGGATCAGTGGAGGGTGAAAAGATTAGAAAAGGCTTCCCAAGGGAAGCGACACACAAACTGAGACCCGAATAAAGCTACAAATTGTAACAGTCCTAGACCAGGAAGAAGTTCATTTCAGGCATGCAAAAGCATGGAGGTAGGAACTGTAATACCAAACTCCAAGAGAAAATAGACAGCTTTTGCTGGAATGCAGAGTGGGTAATGTGCAGTAAGCCTAGAAATGTAGTCTGTAACTAGGTCTCAAAGGGTTTACATGCTATACGAGAGGCAGTGTGGCATAGTGGAGAGATAGCTAAATTGGGAATTTTCTCATTAGGGAATTCTGCATTTCAATATAATCATAAATCTCTTCCCTATTCCTTTAAATGACAAGAGTAAGGGGATGGCATGACTAGAGTTTGCTGCATCTATAGTCTCCTTTTTAGAAATCCAACAATAAAAAATACAGTGTTCTTCTACATGCATTAATGTAAAATTCCTAAAAAACCTTAACATTGCTTTTTTTTAAGCCAGTTTTTCTTTGTGACTAGTTCCTGAAGGACGTGGGGGAGAAAGAAAGCCTTTCTTTCCCTTTATGGTCACCAATTAGAATTTAGAGAAGATCAGCCAGTTTCCTTTATCAGGGGTTCAGAATGAACTGCAATCTTTCTATACCTATAAAATTTATCTATACATCTAACTTATCTTTTATTCTTCTGTCATCTAATCTATCATTTATCTATCAATCGAATCTTTCTATCTAATCTTTTATTCATCTATCATCTAATCTATCATCCATCTATCCATGTATCTATGATCTATTCTCCTTTAAAGGTGTTACTAGGGAGGTACTCAGGAATAGATTTAATCTCCTTTTCTAGTTTCACATTAATTATTCCAGTACAGAAGCATAATGACTCAGTCGTTTATGCAACAATCTGGAAACTCAGTCCCTGTGGGTTTCTGGTCTTGCTTCGGCCATGTACTTTCTAACATTGTGTAAGTCATTTCAAACTGCTGTTCTTTAGTTTCTTCACCCATAAGATGAGGAAAATTCTATCAAATTGCTTCCCAGATACATAAGAAACAATAAAAGTAATTCACAAATTTAGAGTTATGCCATTGAAAGCCACAAAATGCTAACTTTTCTGAGATTATAACTATGAAAGTGTTTTGAAAATTAAAATTATTATACAAGTGAAAGGTATTAATACCAGTGCTAATGTAGAGAAAGGGGTACTAGGAACTTGAAATAGGCAGATGAATCTGAAACTTCTTTTGGACAATTAGATTCACATCTTTCTCACCTAAACTTTAATTTAATTTTTTTTATATGTAGCAATTGGGGTTAAGTGACTTGCTCAGAGTCATTCAGCTAGTGAGTATCATGTATTTGAGGTCAAATTTGAACTCAGGTCCTCCTGTCTCCAGGGCCAGTGCTCTATCTGTTGCACCACCTAGCTGTTCTTTCACGTAAACTTTAGTGAGAACTCTGGAAAAATAGCAAGACTGGCTGATTTGCATTTATGTTCTTTTCTGCTTCTTGACAAATCATTCCAAATAGTGGGGCTAATGAGCAATAAAATGATCAGAAAAATGAGACCAGATAAGAGAGGAAGAAAAGCAAAGAGTCGGGATATAAATCCCTGAAAGACCAGTAACTAATATCTTCAAATCTTCTCTGTCTACTGGGTCCTTCAAATATGTTCTTCAAATATTTACAGGCCTCCCCTATCTTTTTTTTTTTTTTGGCTAGGCAATGGGGTTAAGTGACTTGCCCAGGGTCACACAGCTAGCAAGTACCATGTCTGAGGCTGGATCTGAACTCAGGTCCTCCTGAATCCAGGGCTGGTGCTCCATCCACTGTGCCACCCAGCTGCCCCCAGGCCTCCCCTATTTTGGACATATAAAACAAAATAAAATTTTGACCTGATTCCCCTCCCTCCAATCTACATGCTATTTCTCCCTTGACTTTAATTGATAATTTTCTCAAATTGTCTACACCTGCTTTTCTCATTCATTCTTAACTTATCCCACTGAAATTCGGTTTCTGATCTCACCACTGGTATTGATTGCACTGTTCACAGTCACCAGTATCTTCTTAATTTCAGATCCAATTGCTTTGTATTTTTCTCATGAGGTTTTTTTTAAAAAATAAGATTAACTGTAACTGAAAGCAGGATAATTAAAACATATATTGGAATAACATTGAAAAGAATCTTGAATCTTGGCAGGCTAGAGCAAAGGTGGCAAACTGGCTGCCCGTGGGACTTCAAGTGTGGTTGAGCAAGATTAAGATGTAAATGGGAAATTTTCAACAAAATATAGAAAAATACAACATAGATAACATTATTTTGTGGTTTTTTTTATTTTGTGTTTTTTTAAGTCAATATGTGGCCCCCAGGGATCCATTTCTATTTGAATTTGATACCACAGGCTAGGGCAGTAGGTTGAATCCAATAAGATAAAATTTAATAGTGAGAAACATAGTCTCAGATTTGGGGGAAAACAACCAACTTCCCAAATCCAAGACAGGGTGGGGGTGGGGGGGAAGGGCATAGTTAAACAGCAGTTGTTTTTCAAAAAATCTGGAGGTTTTAGTGAACTGCACGTTCAATATGAATCAGCAGTATGCTGTGGCAGCCAAAAAAAATCTAATGCAATCTTGAGCTGCATTAAGAAACCCATAGGTTTCAGGAATGGGGAGACGATCATCCTGCTGTACTCTGAGGCCCTCCTCAGACCTGGGGAGAATTGTGCTTAATTTTGGGTGTGACTAGTGTGGACAGGCAAACAAGATGGTGAATGGCCTTGAGTCTATGACCTATGAGGATTAGTTGAAGGAAAGGGGCATGTTTAGCCTGGAGAAGAAAAGACCTGGGGGTGGGAAGTGGGGAATAGAATAGCTTTCTTCAAATATTTAAAGGCCTGTCACATAGAGGATATATTAGATTTTTTTCTTTTTGGCTTCACAGGACAGAACCAGGAACCAAGTGGAAGTTGCAAAGAGGGCAATTCAGGCTTGGTATCAGAAAAAACTTCCTAGTAATTACAGTTATCTATTAGGGTTGTCTTAGAAGTGCTGGGCATCTCTTCAAGCAGATGACCACTTGCATGGATGTTACAGTTGAATTTCTTTCATATATGGGTTGGACTAGATGGGCATTGAGGTCCCCTCTACAATACATACATACACACACAACATAGATTATATTTACATATATAATATATACATTTTGTTGTATGTATAACATATATGTATAATATTTGGACCCATGATTTCACCTGTTGAGGGAGCTCCTTGGTAATGAACTCCCTTTTCCAACGCAGACAGGAACCTTTCCGCATTTTAGGGCCTTAGAGAGTTTGGGCAACCAAGTGTTTGGTGACTAACAATGCTGAGGTAGAGGTAGGATTTAACCCAGGTCTTTCTGAGTCCAAGGCCAGCTCTCTAGCCATTACAACACAATGCCTATTTTCTTCAGGTTTACCAATCTTAGTGAGATGGTTGAATGAGTTTAAAGATTAGGGTATCTGAGGATTAATTTGGTGACCTTGGGCAAGTCTCCAATTCTCTAGCTCTCATATCCTTATCTCTAAAATGGGAATAACACTTGCAACTGTCTCACAGAGTTTTGGTGAGGAAAACCTTTTGTAAACCTTAAAACTCTTTATAAATGGATTAATATTAGTTGTTTCAAAGATCCTCTGACGTTCTAAAAACTTTTGTATTCTATGATTCAAAGCAGAGCTGTGGTTGTTCAGTCTGTACAGAAAGCTGAGACGTTTCCCCAACCAACGACTAAACATAGCGAGTATGATCATCTTCCTCAAGGGGTGACTGGGGGCGCAAGTAAGCTCCCCAAGAAGTTTCACCTGTATCCGGTGAACCCGTTAAGATTATCCGTGCACCAGCAAACAGAGGAGGATCCAGTAACTGCTGAATAACTGACGACTGTTCGGGGAATGCAGTTTTTGACAGACACAAGAACCACAGTTCCCAGCAAGCTCTACTTCTTCCAGGCCTCCTCAGACACTACCCCCTTACACTTCGGCTCCCCCTCCCGCCACGCACGTTGCATGCAGGGAATTGTAGTTCCAGCTTAGTGATTGAGGGCGGGGGGATGGGGGAAGGAGGAAGCTTAAACAGCTTTGGGAATGTACTTTTCCTCAGTATGGGGAGCGAGATACTCTTAACCCATTTGAGGTCCTACTGGGTCCCATAAGGGCAAAGCCCTAAGAGATTACAAGAACTATTCTCCCTCGGGGGGGGGGCATGGTAACCTGGAGAGCAAATTGTCCGGCTTGCCAATTCACCAGTGGAGAGGCGGGACCCCCAGCTCCGGAAGGAGAGCGGTGATCCCTCCACCAGTCAATCGACGTCTCTTCCAGTCAGTTGGAGCCCGAAGGATTGGGCGGGGGGCGTGCTTTACGTCGGAGATTGGAAGAGAAAAGAAGGACCGGTGGGATTGACAGGGAGTTCCGTTTGAGGCGGGGCTGCGGTCGCGGGGACGCGCGTCGCGTCGGGGCGGCGGTGGGGACGCGCGCTTGGGGAAAGAGGTCGGCTGTGCTTGGAGGAGGGGGCTGGGCAATCTAGGGGAGTCGCGTCCTGAAGGCGGCGGCGGCGGCGGCGTCTCTGGCGGAGGCGGAGAAGGAGGGCGGGGAAGGAGGATGGAACCAGCTGGGGGCTGGGGTTGGTGCTGAGACGCGGCGCTTCCCCCCTTGTACAGCTCCTGGAAGTTGTGCGGGTGTGAGCCGGACACCGGTGCCGCCCCTGCCGCCGCCGCTGCCGCTGCCGGCCGGGCTTGGCGGGAGAGCGGGTGGGCGGGAGGGGCCGCTGGGGCAGGCGGTGGTCGGGCGGGGAGAGGGGGAAGGGAAGGGGGAGCGACCTGGGGAAGACGGAGCGCGCTCTGCGCCGGGCGGGCGGGCGGCGGCGGGGGGGCCAGCGGCCGCAGCCGCCGGGAGGACGCGAGGCGATGGAACAAGTGGAGATTCTGAGGAAATTCATCCAGAGGGTCCAGGCCATGAAGAGTCCGGACCACAATGGGGAAGACAACTTCGCCCGGGACTTCATGGTGAGTTCTGCCCCGCATCGCCCCCACCCTGCCCGGGATCTCTTCGTGTGGGTGCCCGTGCTTGAGGAGGGGGTGTCAGTGAGAGCTAGGGGCGGCGGGGCAGACGCCAACCTGCTGGGCGTGGGGGGCTCCTGGGGCCGCGGGGGGTGGGGCAGCCACCGCCCCGAGCTCTTGTCCCTCTCCCAGCCCCCTCCTGTGGAGCGGGAGTGGCTGTGAGGCGGTGTTCCCCCCACCCCTTAGTCTTGGAGACCACCTATTGTTCCCTTGCTCCCCCAGCCTCGGGCACCCCTGAGGCTTTCAGTGGGGGGCCTGGGGTAAGTGACTTTGGCACCTTGCCTCCTGCTCCGAAGCCCCCCCTTCTTTTGCCAGCCCAGCTTTTTCTTTTGAGTGCCTGGAAAGGGTCAAGGCAAGTGGGTGCTTCGGGTTGGCGTTTTCTTCCCAGTCGTGAGGAAGGTTTGGGGTGAGAAGAGAGTGAAATTGGAGTGTAGGGCGCATTAAACTTCTAGGCGTTTTCCGAGCTCTTGGTGATTATTGGGGGGAATGATTATTGGGGGGAAGGATTTGACCATGCCTGGATTCCCCAACGTTTGGAGAAGGCATCTCCTTGAGAGATAACATGTTCAGTATACAATGATTTCCATAGCTTACTCCCTAGAACCCACATTTGAGGCGATGGTAACTAGGGTCGCTGTGTGTGTGTTGTGTAGGGAGGGGAAATAATGCTGAAGGAAGCCCTTTCCTAGGGATTTTGTTGAAGGCAGTGGAGGGGGTGTGAATATATGTGTGTGTGTAGGGAAGGGAAGTAAAATGCTGAAGGAAGCCTTTTCCTAGGGGATTTTGTTGAAGGCAATGGAGGGGATGTGAATATCACTTCCTATCCGGGGTGGGGGTGGGGAACTTGGGAACAATAGTTCTGATGGGGCGGAGGCGGTGGTACTCTGGGCTGGAGGCCTGAACTGGAAGATAACCTTCCTCACTCCCCCCCCATTCTCCCCTCCCCCATTTTCCATACCGACTGGGGAGGAGATGGTAAGGGGAGGGTGTGGGCATGAAGTTGTCTGCAGGTAGATTAGTTCAGTGAGGTTATATCTAGAGAAGGGGAGCTAATAAAGGCAACATCCTTCAATTTACTATTCTTCCTCCCTCCCCTCCCTTTTTTCTGGACAATGACCCCTCAAGAATTATTTCCCGTCCTGGGAGGAGGCGGTGGGAGGTGGCCGGTGGCTGCTGTTGCTCCTACGGATATTGCGCAAGACTCTGGGGGCGTTGGAAACCCTGGAGGTCTGGGGAATGGAAGAGGAAGCGGGACTTTGGGAAGTGCTTACTCCTTCCAATGGTGGTTTGGGGAGAGGGGGTTAAGAACTGAGATCTGCTTGGGAAGGATTTTGCTCCTGAGGGAGCAAATAGTCCCATAACTATATTTAGAAAATGAAAAAGATGTAGTGCTGGCATCCACAGAAAGGGCTGGGGAGAAAACATTCAAAAGGAGAAAATAGATATATTTCTTTTAAGGTTCAAGTTATCCTTCTGCTAAAGCAAAGTATCAACTGACTTGTGGTTAAAGCTTTAGTGTAGAACTCCATACTCACGTGTAGGTAAGGTGGATCCTAGATCTTATAATGAATTGTAATAACTTCACAGAGCCTTGTGATTTTTCACTTTTTTTTCCTGTGAAACCAGTAACATAAGATAAGGAGCAAAGATATGTTGGTAGTTTGAAGCTTTTGTGGAAAAGGTTGATTTGGGTTGAAGTGATAAAAGTTTTGCCCAAGAGGAAAAAAAAAAGAGTGTATGGCAAGTGGTTTAATCCTATGAGCTGGAAATGGCTATTTCTCCTTGATTTGTGTGTTTCATTTGTTATTTTTCTGTGCTTTTTATTTGAGAAATAAAGCTCTGCATTTAGGAGGAAAATGTAAATAAGTTATTTTCTGTTTCTTTTGATAAGAATTTTCAATATGTTGAAATAATTTGAAATGGGGCCATTCTTCACAATAACTGAGATTTGAGGAGGTCCTATTTTTAATTTTTTTTACTACACCAGGATGGATGAAGATGTTTACTTTAAAATATAAACTTCCAGAAATAATTTTGTTTTTTTCAGTAATAACTAATGAAAGAAGTGGAGGAGTTGTAATCTTTGCTCATCTCCATTTGTTTTCTTGTTATTCTAGCTCTCCTTGGATACTTTTATCTACTTCACTTAGACTTTTGAGAGTTCTCTTTATGAAGGAGAAGGATTACATAACTTAGTGACTTGTTACCTGTGACTTTATGATCATTACATCAAATTGAGGTTCCCAGTACCAGTATATTTTCAGGGAAATGTGAAATACATTTTGGGGCTTTTCTTGTTTTCCTTTGAAAGCTTCTTCCTTACCTGAATTGTGTTAGAGGCCACTTTTCTCTCATTGCTCTGGGGAAGAAAAATTGTGTACTCTGTATTTTAGACAGAAGCCTTCCAGGGATAATTTATTAAACTGTTTTATTTCTGAGTATATCTGCTTAGGGAGAGAGAAAAAAATGTCAATCTCAGTTTGCTTTCATAATTGTAAGTCATTGCTTGGTGACTCCAGTTTCAAGGTTTGATGACTAAGGTCTATCTCATCACACCAACTCTAAATCAAAAGGAAGGAACTTATCTCATTGCTTTATGTTGTTTCTTGACTAAAAGGTAGCCAGACTTGATTGTCAGACATTGTGATGCAGTTTCTTTCTCTCCTGAGATTGGCATGTATGTGAATATATGTAAATAAAACTTCTAAAACTTATCTGGCACCATAGAAAGGGATTTATAAGCTTATATGACTTACCTTAGAAATCATCTAGTGCAACCCATTCATTATGCAGATTTGTTTAAATTCCATGAACTATTATTTAAAAACTATGTGTAAGCCAGTGTGCTAGAGTTATGACAAAATCGTTCTTATGATAGGATCACAAATTTAGGGCACAAAAAGACCTCAGAGGTCATCAAGTGTTCAGTTTTGCAGCTGAGAAAACCGGAAGCCAGGAGAATTGAAGTATCCAGCTCATGGTCACTGAGGTAGTGAATGGCAGTTCTGGTATTTGAACTCCGGTCTTCTGACTCCAAATCTAGCACTTTCCACTGCACTATTATGATCTCTCATCAGAATGTATATTGTTCTGGTTGAGGATACTGGGGACCAAAGAGATTGTGGCTTGCTTCAGGTTATGTTGTATATAGGAGCCAAACCCTTGTCTTTTGACATGATCAAGTACTCTTTGCAGAAATTTGAGATAAGGATCTATTTTCTCCCGATTAGGGTGGCTGTGCATTGTACAAATGGACCCTCTAGGTGGAGATCTTCTGTAATATGTTGATCCTTAGTTTGAGAGGGAAGGAGTGTGTGTGTGTGTGTGTGTGTGTGTGTGTGTGTGTGTGTGTGTGTTGGAACCATTTCTATAAAGATGATTATTAAATGGATAAGACATTTTTTGGAGAGAGTATAGACATGTAAAGAGAGAGGGTCACGTCCAGCTTTAAGTGGTTGAGAAAAGAGAGTAAAGGAGTGAGAGATAGCTTAGAATTAATCTTAACCCTAAAATTCACCATTTATCTAGATTTTAAAACTACGTTTTGAAAGAGATTATTACATAGTAGTACTGGCAATGGTCTTAAGTCAGCAGGTTCAACACCATCATTTTATAAATGGAGGCACTGAAGTCAAGAGATGGATGGGTAACTTGCACAGCTTATAAGTGGCAGAACTAGGGCTAGAAGTTTTTAGTTACATGAATCTTGAAAAATATTTAGCATTTATTGGTCTCTACATTTGCTAATTGAGTGACAATGGGCAGGTTTCAGTTTACTCATCAGTAAAATAAGATCCTTGTATTGTCGACTCACAAACAAGGTTGTAAGAAAAAGCCTTTTGTAAATCTATATAAACTGTAGCTATTCAAATATAGAGAAACAGCAGAAAATTCCATATCAGAAATTACTATAGAAACTTCTTAGCAATATTGAGATTGCAGGCAGTTATCAAACCTAGCGGAAAAAACCCCATGTATTTGTATTTATGGGTTAGAAGAATTTAATAAAGCCAATGCTAATATGTTGTAGTATTATCTGTAGCAAGTCTTTGCGATATTAATGGGGATAAATTCTTGCTTTAATTTCTTTGGCTAGTGTATAACAATTAAAATAGTACAGTTGAGCCTTATAGATAGGTTCAAATAATCTTTAAGACTTAGCCATGCTTTGATATTATCGTAGCAGTAATGCTGTTTCATGGCAATGATAATGAAAAAGTACAGAAATTGTGAACAGGGTAATTTTGTTGAACTCAAATTGTAACTTGTGGAATAACACTTTAAAACTTTTTTTTTCCATTATCTTGGCCTGTGAACTTTCACATAAATGAATAAGAGTGAAAGGATTGTTTGAATGAAATGTTTTAGACTGACCTAATATGCATTCAAGAAAAGAGGTAAAAAGGTTTTTCTAAGTGCTTAATAGGCTAGTCCTCTGACACTTGCTCCTTGTGTGACCTTGGGCTAGTCACTTAACCTCTTGGTGCACCAGGCAATTCCTTAAGACTTTTTGTTACTGCTGTATTGTTGGCTGGGGATTTAAAAGAGAGAAACTAAATAGCCCTTTAATTATAATTATGAGGAGAAGGAGATGCCAAGATACAGCATGATTACTCAGCTACTATAATATGGATAGAGAACATAGGAAAGAAAGAGATCTAGGAATATTTGAATTGAGAAAGAAAACACTTTTTAGTTGAGGGGATGGTGGCAGCATAGCTGAGCCTTGAAGGGAATGTAAGGATTCTCTGAATGGCAGGATTTTTTTACCTCAATATTTTTAAATTAAGGGCATAAAAGTAAGGAGCTCAGGGTTAGAACTCTCCTCATAATTAAAAATAAAAATTGAATTGAATTGACTGGCCCCACTAAGCAAGATATGGAGAAGGTGTGAATGCTAGTAATTGATGTTAACTTTCTGGGAAGTCTTTAGTGAGAGATTTGAG